GTGTTTAAGCCAGCTTAGCCACAGACTAGTAGAAATTCAGTTTTGGCCATGCAGTCATGGTTTTTGATTTCCACTAGCCAGTTTGGCTAGTAAACATTAAACAGAAATTGTTGTAACATCTAAGTTGTCACTATAGCCACTTGGCTGGTAAGTTGAAAAGTTAGTGTCGAGCCCTGAAGAATATGAAACTTCTAATCGGAGAAATACTCTGATTTTAGTTTATACGTCTAAAAAATTATGTAACAGTCGGAGGTAATGATCACATAGTTAAATACTGTACTGGCCGGTACGCACTCTTTAAATTTTACAGATCACAACAGTATGTGTATTTGTGCAGGTTGACTATTAAACAATTGAATCAAATAAAAGTGTAGTTACTGTAATAATAATTCAGGAAACAGATCAAAAGAAAATTACAATGATCGATTTTTTTTTCTTACGTCACCACATCAATGCAATTATGATAATGTGAAGAACTAATTCCTTAGCTTGCTGCCCATCTTTTCTGTATCAGATATGCTGCATTTCAAGGCTATTGTAGAGAACTGAAAAAAAGAAAGAAACACAAAACTTTCATTGTTAAACCAGCAAACGGAGCTATGGGAAATGGGTAAGTAATTGACAAAAAATTTTAAATTTTGAATTTTACCATCATCTCCATTATATTCATCATAAATAAAAACCATATGCATAAGCTTTTTTTTCTCAACTTTCAGACAAAGTTCTCGTAAATTATCACAAAAAGAACATGTTGCATTTATTATTCAATGCAGGGCTAAGATAACCCAAGCTTTAAGTGTGAAATCTGAATTAATATCTGTAAGCTCTCAAAGAAAGTTCAATATTAGGCATTTTTTTGCCCTCAATGTGATGATTGAATGCCTTAAAAAGAATGAAGAAAATCAATTGTTGTTAACAGTTCTTTCAAAATATTAAAATGGGAATATCTACAAAAATACTTATAAAAAAAATATTGAAAAGAAAGCCAAACTAGGAAAAAAATGCAGGGAAATCAGCTGCTATATTCAGTATAATGTACCTCTTACTTCCACTGTCATCACTGTCATCTCGGTCAAAGTTCTCATTGTGTTTATTTATTGAATAGTTAGTTAGATGCATAAAAAGTTCATCCTAAAAGATAAACAAAACCCAGATCAATACAAATGTAGAACATAATAGACATTTAGATACCATAATTTTATTTCCTTGAATGGGCTTCCAATAATATAATGTTGCTCTCTTAAGTCTCTAAAAGGATGACTGTTGTTGTTGTTGTTTAATGATCTTTAATGAGGATGCTCCACTCACACAAACATGATTTTCAGGGAAGTCCTAACTAAATGTCAAAAAAAAATATTAATTAAATGATGAGGAGATCTAATAACATCATATTATATAAAAGATTGTAAAATTCAACAAAGGTATTTGCAAAATAGAAAAATATAACGCTAAGAAAAAATCTTAACAATTAATTTATTAAAGGCAATGAGGTTATCAGCGTTTCTGGTTTCTGAGTCGATGGTGTTCCTATGGTTGATTTTCACTGGCATTTACAAACATTCTCACCAGGTTTTCATCTGAAGGGCTTTCGTACACTTCAGTTCCCATGCGAACCTGGAAATACAATCATATTCATGATTAAAGGTTTATGGGAAAAAAAAACCCAATCACTTCATGATATGTAAACAATATCCTCTAAAAAATAAACAAGGATATTTAGCTGGCCTAAAAGTTTTGGGAGACTGTAGGAGAGTCAAATTCAAGTGGAAAAGGGAGGTTTCAGCACCATTTATCATTACAGTTGTAGTACATTACAACGGTTTGGTATTCATTACAAAACAGGAAAGCTGTGTTTGAAATGTAAAGCCCTTCCTTTTCTTTATGAATTATTTTTACATGAATTGTATGGCAGATGGCTACTACTGAAATGTTCAAATAATCATATGATAACAAAAATTCACTTACAAGTCCATCATGATA